TAGTGTGAACGGAGCCTTAGTGTGGACGGGACCTAAATGGCACGAACGACGAAACCTCGTTCCCAGCGTCCTTTCTCTTCCTCTCTCGAGAGGACCTTGGGAACGAGATTGCGAATGGCAATGGTCAAGTGAAACGAAGTCCGTTTGTCATGAAATAAGAAGCATGTAACAAGGGTAAAGGAGGGGGGTTTCGCGAGGAAAAATGTGAACACCAATAGAGGAAATTCATATTAAAACGCAATATGCAAAGAAACCTTACATCAGCAACTTTAGACCACGCACGGACGTCAAATTATTGGCCAAGTCCAGTTTTAATCATATCACGAGTAACCTTTTGTCAATCACAAGCTTTGCGCATTCAAGCACAATTGCAACGCATGTAAATAAAGCCACAAAGCGTTAAAAGTTGAAAAAGATTATTTTCTACATAAGCAGCTACAGTGGACTTTTTAAAAACATTTTTGGGCAGAATTAATCTCATGCATCCCTGGCAACATCAGTTCTGAATTTAAGAATTATCGAGAAATAATTGTGTGTAGTTTCTTATTTCTTCAGGTTGTAGGGAGAGGAGAAGCGTCCCCTAGTTCAGTAACGAAAACTGTACGTGGTTTTAAGCAAAAAAATAAGCGCAAATTTAAAATATCATTTATCGCGACAAGCAATTCGATGGCGTACAATGCAACCACTTGCGGCAAATGCTTTCACAAAGGCCAAATAATACAGAAAACAATTGTTATACAAAACACTTCTCACTAACCTGTGATTTCCAATAAAAGAATTTCACGGCCGACACCAGAAAAATTCCATCATCGAAAGGTGAAATTCTACAGAGAGTTATTTGTCCAACAACGTGGTCATCTACACAGGAATGAAGTTTTTACAAGTTTGCACGTGTACATCTGACGTGCGCGCAAATCTCATTGGTTAAATTATGCGTGAGTGTTTTGCGCCAATTGCAGTTTTACACAATGATCCTAATTCGACCTAATTCAGTCCCTTATAATTAGACACCAGGTTTTTCGTTGGATCGCATCATTTTATTTAACAAAAATAACAGAACTTCGATAATTGTTCACAACTCAAGCGCGTTTTACGCGCGAAATATTTTGAGTCCACACGTACCGGGATATTTCTTAAAACGGAGATTTTTTTCTCCGTTTTCAAAAAAAAAGAAAAATACGCGTCCACCGTTGGAATGTTTTCGCCCGTCCACACGAAAAGGCTACAACGATGGAAATACGATAGCGACTTTATATTTATAAAGCTTGCGCGTTGCTAGCAATTTGGTCAACAAAGTTATCCCACGTGCACATGTTTGTCCTGGCGTGACCCAGAACTTATCTACGTGGTGTAGCAGGCCTTCTGGTCAATCGTTTTATAGCCCTTGTTCTTCACTCTGGAGAGCATTTTTCTCAAAAATTTATGTTTACGGTGCTCGAAAACGCCGTTTACGTGTGGAGGGAAGGCTAAAACGGAGAAAGAAATCTCCGTCTTCAAAATATCCGGATACATGTGGATGCGGCTTAAATTTTTTCTCTAACAATTATACAATTTATGATTGTGTCCCTTTTCAATCTATTTTTGGTGTATTTGTGTGAAAATATCTACAACTTGATATTATGATGTATCGTAAGTTAAAAAGCGATTTTCCCGTGGCTTGCAGAAACAATCATGGTTTCATTTTTGGCTCTTATAAAGACTCTGCACTGTGCAGAACGAAATACCCACTGGTACTGCCTGAGACTTTAAATCCTTAATTCCTTTCATGCAAACTTTGCTAAAACAAAGGCTAACCAACAACTCTCAAATAGTGCTCTTATAACAAAAATAAATTTTTACTAATTAGCTATGGTTCGAAAAGACGCAATGTGCTCTGACGTGACAGAACAAAAGTCTTTTCCGGCCAATCGGGTGCACTCGACTTGCAGCCGCGGCCGATGACAGGAGTTTCCCGCGCTTTTTGCCTGTTATTCGTCACTTGAATTCTGATTGGCTTATTGCACAAAGGCAGGCCTGACGACAGGCTCATTTCTTTAATTTCACGTTCAAGATAGTCGCTGGAAAATCGCTTTCATATATACATATATAAGGTAAACCTGCACCTAGATATCTGACAGAAAAAAAACCTGAAAACAAGCAGGATATTACAAATATACATGTATTTACATTGTGGTATAGTCGTCCCTGAACTGAGTAGAACCAGAACGTTTCCGCAAAACCACAGTGATAATAGTCAAATTCTCTCAAACAGACTCTCTCACTTGCGTGCTACTGGGTCCATATATTTCTACTTTATTGATGTTGGAACACTCTCTGAGTTATTTTGTAGTCGTTTAAAGATTCAGCCACGCGCACAAATAAAAATGTTTCACGTGAAAGATAAACAGTCCTCAATAGACGCTGGCCGTTGATTTTCTCCGAGGCCTAGAAATATAGACACACAGAGATACCTCTCTTAAAATGTTAAATCCATGTGTACCCAATTCTGCCAAAAGAACGCTGACCTCGCCAACAGGCTTGTATCGAGACATGCAGTCATAGTCAAGGATTTGAAACAGCAGCTTCTGTTGTTGCAGTTCTTGATACTCGATGTCAAATTCGTAAGCCTCGTTAAACAGTGGATTCGAGCTTTCTCGGTGCACTTTTGAAATGTAAACTCGTTTGCGGCTTGGCACGAGTTGAGTTTTGACAAACACGTCCAGGAACTCCTCGTCATCTTTTGGCGGTAGGTCCTGGGCACTGATCAGCTTAACTAGCAGCACAGATCTAGGAGGATAACAAGTAGTAAAAATCGCTTTACATTGTCCATGGTCTTTAAGAACTCACACCACGTTACAGAAAGCTATGGCTAAAAGAAATTACATATTTTAGAACGGTTACTTGTAGACTACGAGTAGTCCCTCTTTCGCTCAGTCCGTCGAGAGTGACTATCAATAAACTTCGAGGAAAAAACGGCCGCGCGAAATCCTGGGGCGCGGAAATTTTTTGGGGGCTGTTTTCAGTCTTTTGCGTCACGCAAGACGGACCAAGCAAAAGAGAGACCACTCGTAGTCTGGGTTACTTGTAAACTATTACTTTCAAGGGTGATCCGACCTTAATTTCAAACCAGCCTCTCGTCAGTTTAATATGATATTGTTCATATTTACTCCATTTTCACCCTTACCACCCTTAATTATTCATCTTCAATTTGTAATATAATCCTGTCATTTGTCTAGTACTGTTCTACAAAATCAAACCATTACTGTCGGGTTTCTTGTTTTCTAGCTATGATTTCTGTCTCCGTTTTCGAGTTAGTTCATATATCAGTGTAATCCATGCCCATCTTTGCTATCGTTAGTAATGCTCACTTTGCAGTTTGTTCTAGTCTATTGTCCAGTACTGTTCTACAAAAGCAAGCCAGTATTGATGGATTTTCTATGTCTAGATGTGTTTGTAGCATCTCCACATCACGCTAAAACATACGTTTTTTGATGTGGTTTATTTTTCTAAATTAAGAAAATATTCCGTACTTTTCTCACCAACTGCAGTCGTTCCATTATCGCAACAACAATGAAATCAACTTACGACTTGGATGCATACTGGTAGTGATAATGAAGTGTGAAAGTTAATCGGCCCCTTCCACCTTGTTCCTGGTGCAAATCAAACAAAAGAACTCAACACAAACTTCACCTTTTTAACTCTGATATAAATTTTAAGCAGTAATATAATGTGGTTAGGATCTGTAAATTTTATCTTTGTCTGCAAAGAGAAACAATGTCAAATAACTCTATCGCCTTAAATGAACGATAGCCTCAGTATTCAATTTTTTTCTTTGAAATGTTCTCGGTTAGTCCGTTAATAAAAAATCTTAATAAAAAACAAATAGTAAATACGCGGTTTGGCGAAAAAAAAATTCCTGTTTCCTTAACAGTGGTCTAAAAATCTGCTTAACGGGAAGCCACGATCCATCTAAGTCCGGAGAATCCATTTCGCGCTCGTCCTTGGATCACGCGAGGAAGAAGCAGCTTTACGTCCACGAATCGCGGTTATAGAACAGCTTACAAACCTTGTGTTGTTCCGGAACTGCAGGTTGAACCATTGTAGCCTGCATCATAGGCAAGCTTGTCTTCTTTTTCGGAAGCCACAAACTTTTTATCTCTCTTCGTTTCTCTTTCTTTTTTATTTTAGCCAGTTTTTCCTCTCTGTCTTTCGACGCAGCCCTCTCTCTTGCTGGCGAGTATAATCTCCTTTTAGATTGTCCAGGACTGTCTGATGTAAGTATTATTCTCGGAGGACACAATCCTGTTGTTTCCGCGTCGCTGTTGTTTCGTCCTGCGTTTTTCTTGAAGATTCGTAACGCTAAATAGGCGAGGACCGCGAAGACACACCCACCCGCTATAACGGACACAGCCACCACATATCCTTGCATCTTTCAGCTGAAAGAAATATTGTAAAACAACGTCTCAGCACGTTAGGGATCAATTTTAAGGCCTGATTATTCAAACTCAAATACGAATGAAATCTCCTTGTCTCTGCTTCCCTGACGTCTTGTTTACTAAGCACAGTTCTCGAACGAAACCTGACCACTGAAGATGAAAGAGCCAGCTGTCATCGTTACTTGGGTAGCACGGTTGCTAGGTAACTTGCTGTAGTCGAAACCCACAGAGGTTTGTTCAAGTTAACAATTTTTTGAGACAATATACTTGAACGCTTCACTACAAAACAAGGTTTTGCTCCAAAGTTAGTAAATGCATTTCAAACTATGATTTAGTCCAGTGAATTTGTACCTGGTTAGGCGGTATCACAACGCCACTGACCAACCCAATCACATACAAGGGAATTTAAGAAAACTACAACAGCAACGGCAACGGCGGGGAACGTCACTAAACAAAAAGTTGAGTGAGCAAAACAATAGCTGTGCACGTGCGTTATAAAGCTGTGTACATTTCTTGGCTGTCCTTTGCAAAACAAGAATGTAAAATGACCAAGTTTAAGCTCCCTAACAACGTGAAGTGACCAAATTCTGCGTTGCCTGGAGAACGTAAACCACGACGAAAAAAAATTAAAATTTATATTTCAAATCTAACACTGTGTTCCATATTCAGTTTTGAGATAGTTTTGACAGAGAGAAACAAACTTAATAGAGAGATTCGTAGGTAAAATAT